CTCTATCTCTGTCAAAGAGATAGAATATGAGTGTTATGTCAGTTCAAATCAGAAATACACTAATAGATTAAAAGTAAATCCAAGCACCCTAAAGGCAGCTTTGCTAGCCCATGAGTAAACTAGATTTCATTTCATTGTTTCACTGATAGTCAGCACATCCTGTTTCAAATAATCTAGAGCAACCTCCTTTTAGGAATCCTACCTTATTACCCTTTATTTTCAAATCAGTTTTTTTGTGTAAAGAAACAAGCAGTTTTGCTTGTTTTTATTTTACTCAAAGCCAATCCCTTGCATTCAATTTCCTTGGTGCTGGGCTGTTCATGAGGGAAGCAAGGTAAACCATCATTTTAGAGAGAATGTTCTAACAGTCTCCATTAGTTTTATGTCAGTTCTGCAGGACCCTACTCAGGGTACCTTTCGTATCACAAGTTTACCTTGGTGAGGGAATCCCTGTGTTGTTGCATTGAATCCCTTTCTGTAGGAGAGTATTCTCAAGATCAGCAAACAATTGCCTGCATGAGACTGCTGTAGTCTGGGAGACATCTCCAGCAATGCAACTAATGTAAAGCAGTTGCAAGAAGGAATGTGTATTTTGTTAGCTCCACTGTTTTCACCTCAAAATGAGCAGTTCAAATGATTATTCTTTTATTATATTTATGTCAAAAATACATTCCTGAATTTGCTTCAACTATATAAACTTACCAGACCTCCTCCTTGCTTTATGCAATAGACATGAGGCCACAAACCACAGACAACTAAGAAAAATTGGTGGGTTTAAATTAGAAGCACTTGAGGTTAAACTTTCAGCCAACAGGGTAATGAAACTGCAATTAAAGCATTTGGAACCTTTTCTTATGTGGACAGTTCTATTGGATTCTATGCTAATTATCAAGAAAAACAACACTTAAGAGTAGAATATTGAAGAGTAGAATAGGACTGGGGGAAAAAAAGGATAGTTTATACTTACCAAGAGACATACCAGTATATGTAAAAATGCTAAATTAATGCAGTACAAGTCAAAAATATCTTTCTGTTCCTTCATAATACAAGTTTTTGAGCATGAAAAAACCCAGACTACTATTCAGCCTTGTGTACACACAGATAGCATTTCACATTTCATTCCTGCAGTGAAAGGAGTGGCCAGAAGAGACAACCCTAGGAAGCTCCTTTCCCTATGTTGCAGAAATAGTACATGCATGAAGACCCATTTTATTAAAGATTCTACTACTTTGTCCAAATTTTGGTCTTAGGCCATATTTCTAAAATGAGCTAATCTTAATAAAAATTTATAGGGATTTTCTTTTTAAATATTTAAATATTTCCAACACCAAATAAAAAAATAATAAAAGCAAAGATCATCTAACTTCTATTGATTGCATAAAGGAGGAAAAGTATGATCTGCATTTTTAAACAGCAGTAAGCAAATAATATTGCTATCAAACAACTGCAGAAGCCCCCCCCAAAAAAAACCCCAAAACAACCAAAAAAACCCAACCAATTTAAAAATCTAATCCCTCAGGGACAAATGTGACACGTGAGCAGTGAGTGGGCTCAGAAAAATTCTTTGTTCAGTAAAATCCAAGGAGCTGTAATATTCTGAAGTTAAATTTCACAAATACATAGGATTTTCAACTCTCCTAATTTTGTTCCCCCACTGTTTAAAGACCCTACGCACGCACACTGCTCTCTTACAGCACTGGATGAATAACACCAATTTGATCAACAGAACAATTATAGCAAACGTGTCTGTGTTTAATTCAGAACAAACCAAACCAAAACAATCCTCTCTCAATTCCATAGTAATTCACTAATAATACAGTAGATGTCACTAAATATCAAGGAAATAATTTAGGTCACTATCAGTTGATTGTGTATAAAATTAGGGCTAACACAAACATTAGATCAAAACTGGGTTTATCATCATTATTTACATAACTCCACAAGCTTCCTGCAGGTAGCATTAGACAGGACTTCTCATCTTCAAAGAGTTCTGATAGTTTATCAGCTCTTGTACTGCTCTCATCTGAGGCAAAAAGAGTTGTTTGTAAGCATTTTAACTATTCTTCCCAGAGTAGGTCAGAAATGTCATGTGAAAATTATCCTCTTACATGTCATGAATGCCTTTGAAAATTCTACAATCCAATTTTTATCACCTAGCTGTGAAGCTACATCAAAATTTAAAAATGCAACATGATGAGAATTTAAGAACTCAAGTACAGAGTTCATGTTACTGCTCCGAAACAGTCACACAGTGCAATCCTTTTAAATCTACATGATATCAACATGTGACAAAGGTCTTCTACATGTCATCTCCCATTAGCATGAAAACTCATTAACATCTGCAGTAGATCTGAACACTGAAAAGCTCTAACTTATTGAAGAATTTACCTCTGTTTTTTCTAAATTGGCCTCTTCTGCCACTTGCACAGCATGTTCAACTTGCTTACGAGCATTAGATTCTCTCTGCTGCATCTCTTTCCAGTTTTGCCTCAGTGAAACAAGTGTAGCCATCAAGTCATCTCTTTCTCTGCATTTAAAGAAAAAACAGGTATTTCTTCCACATCCTTTTTCAAGAGAAACAAAAAACAAACAGCAGGTATATCGCATACAAAACGTTAACATATAAAAGACATAGGGTGATAAGTGAAGCAAGACTAAAACTCATGGGGCTAAGAGTGAAAGGCAGCATAGTGCTAGCTCAACAGATATTGAAAACATCATTTGCTTATGTCCAGCCCTTCACTTCAGAAGAGTGAACCATTAGATCAACTGCCAGTAATAAGAGCAGATCTCAGTTTGTTAATGTACAGAAGCTGAGCACATTCTGTTGGCATTATAAAATGGGGATCCATCCTAAAAAAAATCCAAAAAAGGCATGTTTCTGAAAAAGTAGATTAAAGCAATATGGAATTACACCCCCATTAACTGTAAAAGAGGGGAAAAAACCATAAATGGAAGGATTAGGTTCAACAAGTAATTCAGATCATTAAGTATACCAAATGAAAATCTATATCCCTTTGCTGCAAACTGGAACAGATCTAAACAATAAGACACTTGGATACAACTATGAACTTTTGTTAACTAAGAAACTGAGATCTATACTATGAAATACAGTCAGGAAAACTGTAATACTTAACTTCACCTTTTCATTATTTTGATAGGTTGAAAGCTTTTAAATTAAGAGTTCAATTGTCTGTGGTTTAGGCACAATTAGAGATTCGGGCTGAAAACTGTAGTGTTTGGGTTTGGTGTCTTTCTTTTCTTGATGTTGTGTGAAATGGTAACTTGCTCTTTTGCATTTGCCATAGAACTAAAACTCATATTTGGAAATTTCATTTCAACAAGAATTCAAAGTCCCTTTGAAAATCCCAACTGAAACACCTTTGTTTTTAATAAGCAGCATGATAAGCAAATGTAGGGCTTAGATTTTGTTAAACCTCCAAATGAAATAATGGTTTAAGATAGATAAATAGATCAGCTTAAATCTTTTATTTCAAGCTGCACTATAAGCACAAGAGGATAACAATGTACTGATTTATAGTTTGTTAAGAATTTCCAACGTATCTGAAAAATTATTACTTTTCTCACAAAAATAGATTTGAAACATAACTTTTCACCAACAGAGCCTTCCCAAAATCTTCTTTGACTTGATAACAGAAAAAATACAGAAATCCTGGAAATAGCCATCTAATGTGTAGGGATAATACCCACTTGATTACCCAGACTATATCTACTATGCCCCTTCAGACTCCTTGTTTCTAATTGACCCACTTTTCCATCTTCAGCAGGCTTATTGTAAAACTTCAGAAACCCTAATAAGCTTCAGATATCTAACAATAAATAGAAGGGTGTTTAACAGACTTCGAGAAAGTTCATAGAATCATAGAATTTAAGGGTTGGAATGGACCTTACAGATCACCTAGTCCCAACCTTCCCAACGACGACAAGGACAACGACAACAAGGACAATGACAACAAGGACAATATCATCTAACCTAGACTTTTCCTCCTTCAGTTTGAACCCATTACGCCTTGTCCTATCACTGCAGTTCCTAACAAATGGTCCCCCTCCGGCTTCCCTGTACCCCCTTCAAATATTGAAAAGTTGCTA